GATGAGACGTAAAACCGAGGTCCTGACTCTCTGTGGTCATTAAAAATCCCAGGGTGTTTCTCGAAAAGAGTAGGGGTGTACCCCGGCGTCCTGGCTAAATTTCCCATCGGCCTTCTAACAATCCCCCTCTATAAATTGGCTTCATTACTCTGCTCTCCTCCCCACTGTGTGGTGAGCGTTCTGGCGCACTATGGCTGCCGTCACATCATCCAGGTGGGGCTGCACATTGGTGGTGGTGGAGGGGAGTCCCCATTACCTGTAAAGCGCTTTGAGTGGAATGTCCAGAAAAGCAATTATTATTATTATTATTATATTACTACATTACAATGTGCAGAAAAATGTCATGTTTAAGTTTGTACCTTGCAGAGCTTGTGTTAACTTCTTTTTACTTAGAGATTCTGTGAAACACACAATTTGACCAGGGGTGCCCAAACGTTTGCTTGAACTGTATGTCCTGTTTTGTTTTCATCCAGTGAAGTTTTTGCAAAAGACTGCTTTGTTAAGTACAATTTTGAATGAGTTGCAAGACACCAATCTGGCTTTAAATTTTTTCTACCTGTCCTTCAGCTCTGGCCTGCTCTGTCACTGTTAATTTTTTACTGTTTTACTCATCTCATGATATAACATTGACATCTTGCACAAAAGCATCAAATAGTAATTAAAAATAATAGTCCATTTGTTTGCCAGAAAAGAAACACATCACTTTGATTTATGGTGTATGACTCATTTTCAAAGACCCATTTGCATTAATTACCTGTATATATTATGAGAAGGCATTTTTAATTTGATAAAGTCTTCTTGGAAGCAGTCAGTATTTTGAGGTGAATTTGCAGAACAGTTTATTAATAAATTCTTGGTTTCCAATATAGTGATTAACACAGGCAGTGTAATAGCATTGACTCTCCTGCTTTTGTGATGACAATATATTTTACACATAAAATGTGACGTACCATTAACCTCTCGTAAGCACAATAGATTCTTCTCGTCTTGCTTGGCAGTCTCTGTGAAAAAACACAAAAGACCTTCATATTAAAGTAAATAACGGGGTATTTTTCTAATTATTCACTTTATAAAGAGAAAAGCACCTCATTAATCATGTTTTGTGATCCGTGAACAAAATGACCATTTTTCCAAATTGTGTTTCAGTGAAGATGAAAGGTTTTGTATTTTTTTTAGAGTCTGATCTGCGGGTCTGAAGGAGCTCATTCTAAATTTGCTCTTTGCAGAGAGGCAGAAATCTGTTGTATTTGACATTTCAGAATAACTGAAGGGCTGGGATAACTTATCACAAATAACCACTATGACGGGCGATATTTATATAAGTAATGTATGTGCAAAGGTCTCTCTCCCTAAAACACAATATATCTGGTAGCTGAGACTCAACTATAAAAGTGGGTTGTAAATGCGTGGGTGCACAGCATTACAAGAAAATGCAATGCTTTTCTGTGTTCTCTGGAAAGGGCGCTTTTTCACTTCAAATCTTCACTGAACTGCACTGTGACGTCTTGCATCCCCTGCTCTGTAAAACTGCACCCTTATCTGTGGAATACCAAACCTGATTTACACCTCTCTCTCGAAAAGGAACTGCTCTAACGTTATGCAGCCGGTCAAGGTGATCTGTCTCCAGGGCAACCCAAGTTCCCTCTACCCAAGGGGCAGAGGTTGCTACAGCGCAATGATTTCAGTGTTGCCACTCCAGTGTGTTTTTGCCCCAATCATGGCCTGTTTGCACCTGTCCACTCTCCCCCTTCCAGGCCTCCCCCACGGATCTCACCTCCCAGGTCCTGGAGAGACGCTGCACAGCGCTGTTGCTCAGGCCGAACATCACAGCGAAGAAGGAGTTCAGGTTTTTCTGCTCCTTCAACCTGGAACCGAGACGACACTTGAGACACAGGAAACAGCCAGCCTGGGAACGCCACTCAGAATGATAACCCGGTGTCTCTCCCGCTGCAATTCTGTACACTCTTTCTAGCCTCTGGGCAGAGAGGGATTTGGTCTTTGGAGCTGCTGTCAAATTAGTAAGAAATGAGTACAGGCAAGGTTACAAACGAGAGGAGCCCTTCTGCCCAAGGATCTTATCCAGCCGTTTCTTGAAAGAAAGTACCAAAGTACTGGCTTCAACCACATGGCTGGGCAGCTTGTTCAAGACCTTGCATGGTGAAATTGTACAGTTTTCAACACAAAGCAAATTTTGTTTGTATTTCCATCATTGTGGATCGATAAGCTGTGCTGATTTAAGAATGAAAGAGATTTCTATTCTTATCAGTGTTGATCCTGGTTTACTGGATGGGAACGTTTCCGCAGGTCTTTCCTCCCGGCGGCTGTCAGGGTGTATAATGCTGCCCTAGGCTAGGACTGTTAGCCCTTCATTTGCTTGTCTATGGACAGCATGTTTACTCCATTGTACTTTTTGGACAATCAGTCTGTATAAACCTATGCACATTTTGCACATATTTTATTGTTTTTACAGTGACTATGATCAGCACATTTTGCACACACCTATGTATTTATTTGTATTTATTTTGTTGTCTTTTGTTTTATAACTATTCTGATGTCTGTTTTGCTTGTCTTGGGCTGGACTGCTGTAACACATCAATTTCCCTACGGGATTAATAAAGTATTATCTATCTATCCCAGGCTGACTGCAAACAAAGGGCAGAATCCGAGCAGACGTGTAGTTTGTACTTCCTGGAACACTGAGCTAGACCTTGGCAATGGTGAGAAAGTGAAGGGATCACACACTTAAGGCTGAATTTCCCCCTGAAGCTGTTTCTACTTTTACTCTGGCCGAGAGCCGAGGAGCGTGAACAACGGGTCTTTGTTAAAATCACATAACGGAGCCGCATCCAGCTCCAGATCTGCTGCCAGATGCACGGCGTACGGTCTGCAACGGACAGGCAGACTCACACGGTGGCCACCTTGATGAATTTCTTCAGTAGCAGCGCCCGCTTGCCGAGGTCAGGGCACAAGCACAGCTCAGTGGCCACCCAGTGCTGGACTTCATTGAACCGGCGCACAAAGCGCTCCAGGTTGGCAGTGGTGGCTCCACGGAACTTGTGACGCCCAAATATGTAATAAACCAGCTCCACCTGAGAGAGTAATGCAGAAAGAGAGAGGTCATTACCCTCGGGACTAAAGCTCATAAAGGTCATATTCTTTTTATGGACTGGTGATGGAGGTTAAAGGTCACTCTTTACCCTTATGGACTGGTGATAGAGGTCATAGGTCATACTCTTTACCCTTATGGGCTGGTGATGGAGGTTAAAGGTCACTCTTTACCCTTATGGACTGGAGATGGAGGTTAACAGTCATACTCTTTACCCTTATGGGCTGGTGATGGAGATTAACGGTCATACTCTTTACCCTTATGGACTGGCGATGG